CGGGGGCCAGGAGGCTCCTCCTCGTCGCGAACTCTGCATGACCTTGGCCAAGTCGCTTCAGTTCCCCGAGCTGGCGACCTCGTCTGTAAAATGCGAGTCATGGCCTTGTCTCCTCGATGGAGGCTCAGTGGCGGGAACGCCTGCGGGGCCGCCGGGGTCCGGGGCGGTTTGCTGGGGACGCCTCGCCGGGGGTGCGGGCGAAAGGGCTTCCACGGGGACCATTTTGTCACAGGCTTTGTGGGGGGAGCTCTCCTTTTCATATAAACTCTGGAATATTGCGAAGTACCGACAGAACTTTTGTTTCACGCGGTACGAGGGACTCGAAGGACAGGGAGCCCTAGCTGGGATTCGCTTTTTTGAGGCCCGCGTTGCCCTGTCCTTTAGCGGTGCCCACGCTCCTGCTGCGGCCCCGGCTCTGTCGGCATCGTCGGTAGAGGATGATGTGAAGCGACAGGGAACCTTAGCTTTCGACGAACTCACGTTTGTGATTTCCCGTTTGCCGGAACGCTTCCTGCGCACCTAGGAGGTTGTGCTGGCCGAGCAGGTGTAGTGTCTGCCCACGCCAGGTCTTTCTGAACCTCGGGGTCGGTGAGCTCTCCCGTTAGCGAATTTCAGTTCGCTAGAGGTTGAGTATGGGACAACTCATGGCACCTCGTTTTTCTTTTTTTCTTTTTTTTTTTTTTTTCCCTTTTTTTTTGGTGTTGGTGTGGGATTCCACGAACCCTCCCCACCAGAGGTCTGCTGTGAAATGGATACTCAACAGGAATGATAGTAGGTTACAAAAGTAAGCGTGTTAGATGGTGTAGTTTGGGAGAAATTCAGAATATTGGAATTGACCTAAACTGAAACTTCTCACTGCAGGTGACTAGCATGCAGATACCCTTGCTCTGACTTTCTGCCCCTCCACTGACATGGCCCACCGGGGTGGGGAGAGGGACTTCCAGACTTCAGCTCGACGCATGGGCACCTCGCTGCTCTTCCAGCTTTCAGTGCACGAACGGGAGCTGGACCTGGTTTTTCTGGATCATAGCTATGCCAAGCCTTGGAGTGCCCACCCAGATGCCAGTAGTGCCCGCCCCACCCGCATGCTCTTTGTCACTCCCCGGCGGCAGCACGAAAGTACCATGTGAGTTTGGGCTTCTGAGGGCTGCTGCTGCCATCACTGGGCAGTGATCAGATGGGAATTTAGAGAGGATTTTCTCAGGATTGACTGGGGGAGATTGTATGAGGCGTTTGGATGTTAAATTCAGGCATCTCTTAAGCAGCATAAGGATAGCAGGCTTGAATGTGGATATCTGTATGAGACAGCTAACAAGAATTAGGAAAGCAAGACATGGAAATGAAAAGCAGATGACCTATTCCACTTAGATAATAGGATATGTGGAAAGGGGAAAATCGCAGAGGGTTATTTAACTGGTGAAGAAAAAGACTGAAAAGTTGATTTTAAAAGATTACCACACAGGATACGACTCCTTATCACATTAGTCCAGTGCTCTGGGTTGCTTGACAGTGGCAACAATAGCCTTTTTATAGTAATGCATTTTGCTTTTCTTGGCTTCACACAGGAAGGTTAGAAGCCAGTTCCAAGACACTGCTTTTTCTCTTCCCTTGTTACAGAGCTGCTATCCATGGGTTAATCTAAACCCTTCTTATGTCTAATGGTATTTTCACCCAGCCTATGTTATAGGGTAAGGAAGTTTCATAAATTGACTACCTGATGTGTGATACAGTTACATTTGGTCTAAATAAACCTGTTTGCCAATTCTTTTGCACTTTAAGGCACTCTAATTATGTTTCAAGATGTGTTGATATATTCTGTTATGGTGATCAAAGGAGGACTTTTGGAGAAGAGTTTTTTCTGTTTTTTTTTTTTTTTTGAGACGGAGTCTGGCTCTGTTGTCCAGGCTGGAGTGCAGTGGCCGGATCTCAGCTCACTGGAAGCTCCGCCTCCCGGGTTTACGCCATTCTCCTGCCTCAGCCTCCCGAGTAGCTGGGACTACAGGCGCCCGTCTCCTCGCCCGGCTAGTTTTTTGTATTTTTTAGTAGAGATGGGGTTTCATCGTATTAGCCAGGATAGTCTCTATCTCCTGACCTCGTGATCCGCCCGTCTCAGCCTCCCAAAGTGCTGGGATTACAGGCATGAGCCACCGTGCCCGGCCTTCTGTTTGTTTTTGATCTGACCTAATGTTTAATCTTTCTTTAAGCACTGGTTTCAATTTTGTGGGGGGTTAGAGCCCTTGTAGAGGCTTCTTTAGAGTCCCCCCTCCTGGAATTGAGCCTTAATGACCTGAGGAGTTAGAGATATCACCATGTGTGTGTGTGTTTTTTTTTTTTTTTTT